ATATTGTCAGTGAACTTACAGAAAGGAGATCTATTCCATTGGGATCCAGATTCGGGACAAAAGATTCCAAGTCCTGTGGTATAAGAAAAAAAAAAAGATGGGCAAGAATCATTTACTGCTGTGACCTCCTGTCTACTGAAACGAGAACGAGGAAATTTGAAGTACCGTTGGTTTCCATTTAGGGAAAGCAGATTTATAATCCGGAAGTGAAGTTACCCCGGGCCATGTATCCTCGTATGGAGTTCCCATGATTCTGGGAGAAGACAAAAGACATGGCAGTAATAGATTTATAATCAGTTAACACTTCAATATCTGTGTTCTTTTACTACTTCTCCCTGAAAATTATATTTCAAGTTGAGAATGCTTTCAGAATCCCTTGTGATATCATTGCAGACACAAGTTCTTTCCACTAGTAACATGTAGAAGAAAAGTGGATTGAGCAAGTTAGTAATGAGACCTGAAAATCTTGAAGAGTTGATCAATCTCGGAGTCTCCAGGAAATAAGGGCTTTTGGCTGATCATCTCGGCAAATATGCATCCCACAGACCAAATATCAACAGGGGTAGAGTAATGATGAGATCCTAGGAGTATCTCTGGTGCGCGGTACCAGAGAGTAACCACCTAGAAGCAACAATATGCAAAAACTGGGTGAATAACCATGTGAAATCTGAAATGTAGCAATAATGATATTTGAATCTGACATTGTTCAACCGTCAAGAGAAATGTTCTTTAGGTAATGACTTTGAAATCTATCTGAAATATCTAAGTCCCTTTTTCACATTTATCAGATGCAAAAATGGGATATTACTTTATGTTGTTCTGTACTCTTTCTCTAATAAACAAATAGAACCAAGCAAATATGAAGCCATGACAAAAGATTCATTACGGAAACAGAAGAACAAAAAATTAAACTCTTTGGCACCTCATGAGTAAATGTCCTGACAGGGATACCGAATGCTCTGGCCAGTCCAAAATCAGCAAGCTTAAGTGAGTTTGAGCGGCGATCAATCAACAAATTCTGTGGCTTTAGATCACGATGGAGAACCCTGTGAGAGTGGCAATACGCAATTCCACGGAGAATCTGGTAAAGATATGTCTGCAAACAGAGGATGAACAAATCTGATCAGCCTGATATTAAGTACTAAAAATCACACCGGGAGGACATAACTTAGACTTCAGAAATATTCACCGAAACTAAACAAATAGACGTGTCAAAGTTGCCAGAAGGAAGTTTATGGCATCATGACCAACCAAACAGCTCAATAAGACTGTATTTTTACATGTATCTGGTTTGTTAATTTAAGAAATGCCTTCACATGCAAATGCATCAAGCACATATATAGAACAATGCCTAGATTTCTTAGTACTCACTTTGATCATATGTAGATCCTTTGCGAAGTCAGGAGATGAGTCCATATGTTTTTTGAGATCCAAGTCAAGATACTCAAAAACCAGATACAAACGTTTCTCACTGTGCACCACATCCTGCAACCTGCGTAAAAAAAAAATCAACCAAAACTGTGCACCATTACTGAAATTCGTTTTCACAAATGGTATAAACGTCATACTTGACAATGTTGCTGTGCTGCATTTCTTTCAAAAGGGAGATTTCTCTAATTGCTGTGCTAGGAACACCTTCATCCTCCTGCTCTAGCCGGATCTTCTTCAAAGCTATTGTCTCATTGGTCACTTTGTCTCGTGCCTTATAAACCACACCGTAAGTTCCTTCACCGATCTTCTCAACTTTCTCGTACTGCATTAGTATGAGCATTAAACAGAGATTCATCAAAGAGTAACCAGTGACTACGAACTGAAAACAACTATTTCACCAACCTGATCCATCACTTCCCAAATAAGCAAGCTGACACAACTCCACACTTGTAAATCGAAATGTCACAACACGAATAAGCCAAAACTTCACCTGCAGATTGACAATAAAGGCATCGCACCATGTTTTAGTTAAGCTATCTACGCACATTTTACAACAAGTACTCTAAGAACACAATCTCAAAATTGAAGTAAAATCTGTACACAAAGACGCAATGAAACAAAAAAAAATCTCAGATCCGGAAGACGCTACTAACCGAGTATGAAACTTGTGATATTATTCTCTGGACATATTGTGAAAATGAACAATCAAAGAAGACGGCTAAAATCGTTAATCGGAAATCACATGAACAACATCAGAACAATCGAACAAAATCCAGAGTAGTGAACTCATAATTTTTTCCAATCCAGAGAAAAGCGAACGAAAATAAACACGACGACGAAATGCGAAACAAAAACACTAAGAAATGCCAAGGAAAATGCGAAATAGGGGAAACAACT